AGATGCTGAGCAAGAAAAAAAAAAGAGACGCAAAGGGAGAGACCCCAGGGCGTGCATGAGGAGACGCGTGAGAAGCGAGGGGGAAGCAGAGGAGACCTGCAGGAGGGGGCACTGGTGGGAGGAGGTGTCCGTGCTGGAGGGGGTAACACCCCTGAGGGGGCCGCGGCCCATGGAGCACCCACGCGGGGACACTGCTGGGAGAATGAAACCCACCGGTCAAAGGAACAGTCGGAAGACACTTTTGAATATCACCATGGATGGGGGCTCCACAACATCTCTGGGCAACCTGTCCTGGTGTTGGACCACCTGAAGACGAGTGCGTTCTCCCGTTTGGGTGGAGTTCCCTGTGGTTTTAATTTGTGCCTCTCGTCCCGTCTGTGGGAACAACTGAGAAGGGCCCGGCTCCCTCTTCTTCATTCCCTCCCCTCAGGTATTTGCAGGGCTCCGCACATCCCCTTGCTGAACACCACGAGGTTCCGCTCAGCGTGGTGGCCCAGCCTGCCCGTGGTCCCCCTGCTTGGCCGCACAACCCCCCAGTGGGTGTCAGCTGCCCCAGCGCCCAGCTCATTAACGAAGGTGTTCAACAGGACCGGCCCCAGCACCCGCTCCCGGGGGTGGCCTCTGGTGGGACTTCGTGCCACCCATCACCACACTCTGGCCTGGCCGTTTGGCCGGCTTTCAGCCCACCTCGCTGGCCACGGATCTACCTGTCCTCTGTTTTGTGAGGACGTTTGGGCTGACAGTGCCAAAAGCCTTGCTGAGCTGGAGGCCAGCAGCGCCCACCAGGCCGGTCCCCTTACCGTAGGAGGCCACCTGGCTGGTGAGGCGCGAGGTCCCCTTTGGCAGTCCATGCTGACCGCTCTCCGTCAGCGTCTTCTTCGCCATGCGCTTGGAAGTGGTTTCCAGGTCTTCATTCTTGTCCTCCTTGAAGGCGGGAGGGCTCTTGGCTCTCTCCCTGTCCTCAAGGAGCTCTCCCCATCAACTGCAAGCATTCAAAGCCCGTCTGGATCCAGCGCCCTCAGCACCGCCAACTCCTCCTCTTGGGTCCCCAGGCGAACGCAGGCCTCGCGGGGAGGCACCCACGCCTGCTCACGTGCCAGCGTATCCTCGGCCGTGCCCCCCGTGCGCTCGGCGCTGCGCCCCGTCTATTTAGCCGGGCACCACGCTCGCCCAGTGCTGCACCCTGTGTTTTGGGTGCCCTCCCCATGAGCTGCACCCACCAGCCCCCAGCTGGAGTGTTTGGTCCTGCACCCTTTGGTGCCTGGTGCTGCACCCTGTGGGCTTGGAGCTGCTCCACATGTGCGTGGCCCTGCACCCCCTTTTGCTCAGTGCTGCACCCCCTGTGCTCAGTGCTGCACCCCCTTTTGCTCAGTGCTGCACCCCCTGTGCTCAGTGCTGCACCCCCACATGCTCAGTGCTGCACCCCATGTACCTGGCGCTGCACCCCCTGTGCTTGGTGCTGCACCCCCTGTGTTTGTGCTGCACCCCACAAGCCTGGTGCTGCACCCCCTTTTGTTCAGTGCTGC